TCGGAGACGAGCCTGAACCACAAGAGCCCTGTCTTATCTCTCTATGCTCGACTACACCTGACGAGGGCTATTCTTTTGACAGTGATGAACATGGTCCTTAGGTTGAGTTATGTTTCGCACCAGAAATGTCAAAGGTAGTGTTGGATCAGACCCAACTCGCACAGCTTGAGACTGACATGGTCGCAATGATGAGAGTATATGTATCATCGGCTGCTAAACGCGCTGTGGTAGTCAAGGAAGACGACCTACTCACCAAAGCCGATATAGCAGCACACCCTAAAGGGGTTTGTGAAGTTTTGTACACCGAACTCAAGATCTGGCTTGATAACCGGTGCTTCGAGATGTATGACCTATCTAAAGTTTCCAACATCATGACATCCAGATATGCATACAAGTGGAAGTTTGTGAAGGCAGGCACCGAGAATGTTGAAACCATCCGTCTGACACTTGTCCTTCGCGGATTCATGGACACGGAGGCGTTTGATGTAGAAACCTTCTCAGGAACTGCCCGAAGACAGTCCCAGAGGCTCCTGGCAAGTGAGGCGGCATGTCATCCATAATGGATCTTGGCATCTATGGACATCGACAAAGCGTTCCTCAAAGGTCTGACCTATGAGGAACTTGCTCATGCCACCGGCGAGGAAACTCGCATGGTTTGTTTCACTCTCCCACCAGGAAGCGCCCAGGTGTTTCGTACACTACCAGGCTTCTCTTCTTACGATGAAGGCCGACACTGCCTCGGGTGCCTCAAGCCAGGGGCGGGTACAAAGGACGCCCCAAGAGCGTTCTCCCTCAAGCTTCGTACGACCACACGAACTATAGGCCTCACACCGGCAAGTTACGATCCTGAGTTTGAATTCAGTCAAGATCTGTCAACGGCAAAACATGTCGACGATATCAACATGACAGGCCTAGAGAAAAACGTAGATGACTATGTACAACGTGTCGAAAAGGTGTTTGGTAAATGCAAGCTCAACAAACATGATTATACGAACTGCGCCGTTCGTTACACCAAGAATGAACAAGGGGATGTGATCATGGATCAGGACGAGTACATCAAACAACTATGTCCTATCATACACGAACTTAGGGGAGCGGCGGCTGACGCCAAAGGTCTCTCTCCAGAAGATCCAAGAGCCCACCAACCTACAAGCCAGACGACTGAATGCTGCGACGCGAAAGCTGATCAGCAGCCCGAAACGCATCACCTTCCCCCGGATGAAACCGACCAACGAAGTAGACGTACACAGTGATTCGGGGTATCGGAAGCTCACCGTGGAGGAAGACGATGAGACAAAGGGCTACGGTATCCGTGGGGCTAACGTATTACGGCGAAGAAACTCGCCTCAAGGCAAATCCGTCATCCACCTTTGCGACGGACTATGCAAATCACACCGATTGCAGGTGAGGTCCAGCTATGCCGCTGAGGCACTTGCAGCTGCACACAACCTTGATGAATGCTACCCCACGGTCATCACTCTCCACGAGCTCAAGGCAGGGGCACTTACTCCACGACAACTACGTGATATGTGTGAAGTTGGAGGCCTAGCCACTAAGGTATCCCTTGCTATAGACGCTGAGTCTGTATACAAATCGCTATCCAGCAAAGATCTTAAGATACCGACGGAACGGACTTTGCTGGGACATATCAGCTGGATACGTGAGCTCATGGATATAGGTATAGTGCACAACGTGCAATGGTGTGATACTAGAGACATGACCGCAGATGGGCATACAAAGGGGAGTATCGATCGGGAGCTGCTTTTGGAGGTGATGTCAGGCACTCAGTCATTTAAGTATGACGTGAAGCAGTTTGTTCCCTTTCGGGGTCCTGAGGACAGAAACAAGCCTACGTCAAATCAGTTTTAGTTTGTCCTTGTTGCCCCCGCGGTCCAGTCTTCCAGCGCGGGCGCCTAATACAGAGGCGCCCCCTCTAGTTGCTCGGAAACGAGCCTTACTTTTCACGCTTGGCAACGAGCCTGTTCAGATTGATTCAGGCTCTTTGCTTGAATACCCTCTTGCTCGGAGAGGTATAGCCTGTTTGGCTTACCTCTAGCCGGGCCGATAGCCCTTTGATGTCCAAAGGGCCATCTTGCGTATGCGTGAAAATGCTATGCGAGGAAACTCGCCTTACAGTCTGGTGTTAGGCCAGACTGTACCTGCTGTTTTTCTTGCAAACAGTCGTGCGCGCGGCCTTTGTGGAGCCTAACGGTTGCGCGGCTATACTCACCGTCTCCTCCCCTCCCGACTTTAAGGGTAGCTCTTTGGGAGATGTTATATAGGGTCGGGAGTATAGCTCGCGCGCCGTTGCCTTTGGCTCAAGGCACGCGCGCTCTATTTACCCGGACACTGCTGGTGTTCGCTATGTGCTGGAAAGATCATTACATCGATCTTATCCTATCTTATCCGTCCACTCCCCATACTGAACTACCCCAGCATGGAATTGGACGCTATTTGCCATCCGCTTTCCATGGGATCGGATGTTATTTGACTTACCATAGTCACTTCAGACTCTTCCGCCTCTCTTTCTCATCCAGTTCTCCCGTTCCCTCTTTCCTGATCTACCCTTCCCTAGTTTGGCCACCTATCAACTGCTTCTTTCCCTTCATGACCTCTCCAGGGGTGCTTTCTGGCAAGGATTTCGAAACGAATCCAACGAAGCGTCTCCTCTCGGGCGGACGGCAACGGGCGGGAACGGTTGCAGGTTGTGGCCCTTTTGAGGGCAGCTTTGTTTCCACCTTCGATTTTCCTCCGATCACTACACTGCCCCTCCGTTGACATCAACCTTGTGGGCCCGGCGAGTCCACGTCTGGATTTGAGTGTGTTTAACGTATTGGGGCCCTCGAGGTGTCTAAGAATACGTTTCCTTTTTTTGCGTGTTCGTCATACTTTCGTTTTATGGTCGACGAAATCAGCGATGGGACGTTCTAGCGTCGTTCCTGTGTCGTTCCTTTCTCGTTCTAGTTTCGTTCCGCTGTTGCATCAATGTCTGTTCAGGTCTGTCCCAGCAAGAAACGTCCCAGAATTGGCACGCCCTTGGAACGACAATCCAGAGCGCAGGCGTTATTGAAGGGCCCCGTGATTTAGCACCTGCCTGGATCCCCACCGGGCACAGAGCCCACGGACGCCCCTCCAGCAGGACGGGCAGATTGATTTCAGGCTGAGCCCTCAAAAAGCACGCGGGCCGCGCGCGCGGCCCGCGCCTGTCAGAGGAGGAGGAGGAGGAGGGCCACCTGGGCGCTGAGGCGCAACCGCGCCACCCGTCTCGGGACGGCCTCCGGGCCGATGGAGCACGTCGTTTCGTTCGCTCGTTCCTTCCCCCTTGCCCCCCCTTCCCCTTCCCCGTCCCCTCCCCCTTCCACCCCACCCTTCCTTTCCCCACCCTTCCTCACTCCCTCCCTCCCCCTTCCCTTGGATGGTTCCCCTCTCCCTCCCTCCCTCCAGCCCCCCTCCCCCCCTCCCCCCTCCATCCCCCCTCCCCTCCCTCCTCCACAATTAATCAATATGAATACTACTCTCCTCTCTCTCCCCTGGTGGCGTCCGGGGATTGTTCGTTCCCCCTCAGCGAATGTTTTTTCAGGTTTCCTCGGAGTTGGTTTTCGCTTGTTTTTTTCCGGGCGTGGCCACGCCATGCTATGTCAGGCTACGCGTCCTCATGTCCTCGCTTCTGTACTTGGTTTTTTGTTATGTCCAAAATGCTGCGCTCGCTGACGCGCTGGCCTCATTTTCGGGCTGCCGCTCGTTCCGAATCGTGCTCCCGCTGCAGCGCTGGCCTCATTTCCGCGCTTCCACTCGTTCCGAGTCGCGCTCCCGCTGCAGCGTTGGCGTCATCATTTCCAGCGCCATGCCACGGCATGGTTTTCGGTCCTTCCGAATAGACTCAACCATCCAGAAAATGCCACCTCGAAAAAACCATCGGAAGTGATTATACATTCGGTGCCGATTCGTTGATTTCTGGGGCCGCAGAAGCCCCCCCCACGTTGGGGCGTCGCCACGCCATACTATGTCAGGTTACGCGTCCTCATGTCCGCGCTTCCGCGCGCAAAAAAAGGAGGCTGCTCTTGCTGACGCGCTGGCCTCACTTTCGGGCTGCCGCTTGTTCCGAATCGTGCTCCCGCCGCAGCGCTGGCCTCATTTCCGCGCTTCCGCTCGTTCCGAACCGTGCTCCCGCTGCAGCGTTGGCGTCATTATTTTCAGCGCCATGTCGCGGCATGGCTTTCGGTCCTTCAAAATGGCTCTAAAATTGAGAAACTGGCCCCTGACAAAAAAAAATCGGAAGTGATTACACATTCGGTGCCGATTCGTTGATTTCTGGGGCCGCAGAAGCCCCCCCCCCCGCATTTTCGGGCGTCGCCACGCCATGCTATGTCAGGCTACGTGTCCTCATGTCCTCGCTTCTGCGCTTGGTTTTTTTTATGTCCAAAATGCTGCTCTCGCTGAAGCGCTGGCCTCAGTTTCGGGCGTCCAAAATGCTGCTCTCGCTGAAGCGCTGGCCTCAGTTTCGGGCTACCGCTCGTTCAGAATCGTGCTCCCGCCGCAGCGCTGGCCTATTTCCGCGCTTCTGCCCGTTCCAAATCGTGCTCTCGCTGCAGCGTTGGCATCATTATTTCCAGTGCCGTGCCACGGCATGTTTTTCGGTCCTTCCAAAAATAGGCCCCAAAATAATAGAAATGGCCTCCCGAAGAAACCATCGGAAGTGATTCCACATTTGGTGTCGATTCGTTGATGTTTGGGGCCGCAGAAGCCCCCCCACTTTTGAGCGTCGCCACGCCTTGCTATGTCATGCTAAGTACACGTTAATCTAGAACAAAATTGCTATGCCATATAATGTTGTGCCATGCTGCGACATCCGATTGTGCGAATAGAGAGGAGATCTACGCCTTGGCAAGGGATAGGAGGGAGGGGTAGGACGTCAGATACGACGCGAGCGCACCTAGCTTGTCCCCCTCCCTCCCTCCCCTCCTACTCCCCCCTCCCCCCTCCACCCCCCCCCTCCCCTCCCCTCCCTCCACCCCTCCTCCCCTCCTCCCCCTCCCTCCGCCCCGCTCGATGACTCCTGCGGCCTCGGGCGCCGCGGCCGCTCGCGGGCTCGGGGGCGGCCCAGGGGACCAGGCCTCGCAGGTTTGAGTCGGGCGTGTCCCTCCACAGGAGGAGTAGTCAAAAATAGTCAAAACATGGTCGGGGGACGATCTTCTGATTATTTTTGGGGTTATTTGGGGGGCTTTGTTTGACGGCTTGTTATTGTTCGTCCAAGGTCCCACTCTGGGGGGACATGCCCGACCTAAGACTAGGCCTCGTAGATGGGGTCGGGGTAGAGGAGGTCGGAGGATCGCGCCGCATCGCCGATGCATCGCCGATGCGGCTCGATGTGCAGCCCGATATGCTTCACAACGACGTCGCCGATGCACCGCCGACGTCGACGATGCATCGCTGGCGCATGGCGGATGCATCGCCGATGCATCGCCGATGCATCGCCGATGCATCGGCGATGCGGCGCGATCCCCCGACCCTATCTGCTCCGACCCCATCTAGGAGGCCGCGGATTTCGATCTGCGCTGGGGGCCCCTGGCGACGCCATCCGGCGGCGCCCCCTGGCGCGCTCCGCGCGCCAGGGAGGGGGTCCAGCTCAGATCCAGGACATCGGCGCGGACCGTCGAACAGTTTATGCTTACGTCGTTTCTTCTCCCAGGGGTCCCAGACCCCAGATCTACTTCGAGCGCCTTCCCGCTTCAAAAGGGTCGATCTGCTCTTGCCGTGTTCCGTGGTTCCCTGGTCGGGCTTGGGCCCGCTTCACGTGATCCGCCTTCCTGCTTCATGTGTTGGCTGGCTTCTTCCGACCAACGACGTGCAGACATGATGGCGGGGGCCACGATACAGTCGAAAACCCTAACAAGGACGCGCGACTTTGCTCAGGGTACCCTTGCGTCCTTGCTCTTCCTTGCGTCCTTGAGGTTTTCGTCGCCCGCCGCCCCAAAGATCCCAAACTTCGGCTTCCAAGGGCCTTGCGCCCTTACCGCGCCTCCTTTATTAGGGTTTTTGACTGTACGCCAGGCCATGATCTGCGAGCCCTCCTCTTGCGTCCTTACCCCGCGTCCTTGCTCTTCCTTGCTCTTGCGTCCTTACCTTGCTCTTCTTGCGTCCTTGCTCTTCCTTGCTCTTCCTTGCTCTTGCGCCCTTACCCCGCGTCCTTATTAGGGTTTTTGACTGCACGCCAGGCCACGACCTGCGAGCCCTCCTCTCGGGGCACCCCGCCGTCGGCCGCCCCCCCGGAGGTGGGCCACGTGGAGACGTCGGCGGGGAAGATCCGCTTCAAGAGGTCGGGAGGTCCGGGGGCTCGGGCCGCCTCCCCAAGAGGGAGGGACGGGAGGAGGAGGGAGGGAGGGAGGGAGGGAGGGGGGGAGGGAGGGGGGAGGGGAGGGAGGAGGGAGGAGGGGGGAGGGGAGGGAGGGAGGGGGGGGGAGGAGGGAGGGAGGAGTGGGATGGAGCTGGAGGGAGGGAGGGAGGGGGGGAGGGAGGGGGGAGGGGAGGGGAGGAGGAGAGGGAGGATGAGGAGTGGAGGACTACCGAGGAGGAGGGAGGAGGGAGGAGGGAGGAGGGGTGCGTGTGGGGGGGGCGACTGGTAAATCTCGTGGAGGAGCGCAATGCAAGATCGTCTGGACAGAATTCAGAAAGGACTGCCCCCGAGGCCCGGTCAGTCCTGGCCAGCGCCCCCGACGAGGGAACCAGCGCGCAGACTTCGTTACTCAATAGGTCCCGTACGCCGATTGCTCCCGAGGGCCGCATCTCACAGGAGGGGCGTGCGAGCCAGATGCGTCGCGGATGCTGACTGGCGCTCTGCTGTATCTCCCTCTGTCCTCCTCCCCCCTCCTCCCTCGCCTCCCCCTCCCCCTCCGACAGCGGGCCAAACGAGGTTTTAAACGGCAGCCCGAGCCAAGTTGTTTTCCAGAGTGGGCTTCGGACTGCTTGATGGGTTTGGATGCTGCTGATGCCCCTCCCCCTCCTCCTCCTCCTCCTCCTCCTCCTCCTCCTCCTCCTCCTGCTCCTCCTCCTCCTCGATCCTCGACCCTCCACGTCCCCGATCCTCGATCTCCGATCCTGGCGGAGGGCGGAGGGCCGCGCGGCGGCCAAGGGCGGCCGCCAGAGCCCCCGGTGCTCGCGCTGCCGGGCGCGGCGGGCCGCGCGGAGCACGTGCTGGTGCAGGGCGTGCCGGGGCTGGTGGCCGCCGCCGTCGTCTGGTTGAAGGCAAAAGCTCTGCAGCAGCAGCGCTCCGACGACGGAGAGCCGGCTTCCCCCCCCTCCCCCCCCCGGCCTTGCTACTGGAGTGCGTTGCGATCGAGATCTTTGGTTCCATTTTCTCCCGGCCGCTCATCTCCGGAACCAACTGCTCGATATCAAGGCCAGGGGGGTGCGGGGGGTGGTATTCGAAGTGGTCCCCCAACTCTTGATGCAAAGTTTGTTCCTTCAACGGTCGCGACTCCTCGAGCGTCCATCCCCCGTCTGCCTCATTCCACGATGGATCGTCGTCGTCGTCCTCGTCGTCCTCGTCGTCCTCGTCGTCGCCGTTGTTGTCGTCGTCGTTGTCGTCGTTGTCGTCGTCGTCGTCGTTGTCGTGTTCATCGTCGTCGTCTCGTCGTCGTCTCGTCGTCGTCGTCGTCGGCGTCGTCGTCGTCTCGTTGTCGTCGGCGGCCCGGCGCCCTCTTCTAGGCGAGCACCTCCCCGAGCACGATGGGAAGAGCTCTCTCGGCAGCAGACGTGGCCCGCCTCCTGCACAGGCCTCCTCTGTTGCACAGCGCCCTCTAACAGTGAGCGGTTCGAATAAGGAGCACTTGCTTGTCAAGAGGGGCTCGGTCGTTCCTTAGGCTTGCATGCGTTATGTATCGTTATTTTATGCATTATTGATTGTTGTCGTTCCTCATGCGTTACTCCTCGGAGGAGCAAAAGTGCTTCGTTTCTTATGTATCGTTCCTCAGTTCAGGCCGATGACTGTATGAGACAAGGCCCCTACCCACGCTGATGAAAACGGCATCTATCGGGTGCTAGGCGTGCCCCTCTCCTTTCAGAGGCCCCCTCTGCTGCACAGCACCCTCTATGAGACGAGGCCCCTCCCCACGCTGATTCAGAAAATCGCTTCTCGGTGCCAGACGTGCCATCTCTGCCGCCAGCATCCTCTGCTAGGCGAGCCTCAGCCCAGACTTACGCAACGTTCTTGATGCTAGACGGGCCCCTCGGTCTGCACAGGTCTCCTCTGTTGCGCAACGCCCTCTATGAGGCAAGGCCACTCCCCGAGCTGCTACAACAACTCCTGAGCGCAAGACGTGCACATGCCCCTCGACAGGCCCCCTCTGCTGCGCAGCAGCCTCTCTTGGGCGAGGCACCTCCCCCAGTTCAGTGATCCAGATCCTTGGCGGCAGACGTGCCCTTCCTCCTGCACAGGCCTCTTTCTTAGACGAGGTCCCTCCCCAAGCTGGCTTTTCGAAAAGCTCTTTTTGTCCTAGACGTGTGCCTTCCCCCGCATACACACACGCACGCACGCACGCACTCACGCACGCACGCACGCCGCCCGCCCGCACGCACGCACACAGACACAGACACACAGACACACAGACACACAGACACACAGACACACAGACACACAGACACACAGACACACACACAGACACACACACACAGACACACACACAGACACACACACAGACACAGACACACACAGACACACAGACACACAGGCACACACAGACACAGACACACAGACACACACACACACAGACACACACACACACAGACACACACACACACACACACACACCACACACGCACCCTCTGCCGCGCAGCACCCTCTGCTGGGCGAGCTCCTCTCCAAGCTGATTCTAAGAATTCCTTTGAGACTAGAAGCACCGTTCTCCTGCTCAGCACCCTCTACCAGATGAGGCCTCTCTCAAAGCTCATTTGGAAATATCCTAGGTGCTAGACGTGCCTCTCCCCGTGTACAGGCCCGCTCTGTTGCGTAGCACCCTCTATTAGATAAGACCCCTCCCCAACAGGGCGCTTTCTGACTCCTCTGGGCCGATTCGGATCGATCTCCCAGGGTGCCGATTCGATCCTGCTCGATGCGCACATTCCGATTCACGATTCCGATTTCGAGTTCGCCCGATCCGACTCCTGCTGATTCGATGTTTCCGCCGATTTCTTCCGATCCGGCTTCGCTCCGAGGGAGCAGAGAGGATCCTCGTCGACAACGGCGATGGCGGCGACGCCAGCCTCCGGCGGCGACGTCGACGGCGACGACGGCCTCCGGCGGCGACGTCGACGGCGACGACGGCGTCCACGGCGACGTCGACGGGGGAGGCGAGGCAGGCCGCAGGTCTCGACCCTCGACTCGAGGGATCCCGCCCGAGGAGGACGGAGGAGGCGGGATGAGGAGGAATCAGGAGGGGAAAAACACAGACACAATTATCGTCGATTCCCCAGAAAATATGGGAAAATATGGGAAGTGGGGGGGAAGACAAAAACCCAGAAAATATAGGAAAATATGGGGAATATTTCTATTTGTGTGTATTTATTTGTGTGTCCTGGGGCCCCTTCAAGGTAGGACGGAGGGAGGAGGGCGGCGGTGATGACGGCAGTCCCCCCGAAGGGCGGGGCCCCCGACGTCTTGGACGGGCCCTCCCCGAGGGGGGTCTGCAAACCCCCCCCCCGCCCAGGGGTGTCTGCAGACTTCCCCGGGGGGGGTCTGTCTAACCACCCCCTCGTTCTGAGGCTGCGCACCCCCTTTTCCTTCCCCATCTCTGGTGAATTCAAGCTTCGCGCGGCCCGCTTAGCTTCGACCGGAAGAGGTGCACTCTCGACCCGCGAATCAAAAAATTGTCTACCCCCCCCCCCCGCCGGCGGGGCGGGGGTCTGGCAAACCTCCCCGCAGGGGGCCCTGGAAGCACCCCCTTGGGGGGGGGGTGTGAGCTCGCAGGGAGGGGTTGATAGGACCCTCCCCAGGGGTTGTCTGTGAGCCTCCCCCGGGGGGTGTCTGTAAGTCCCCCTGCAGGGGGGTGTCTGCCGGGGGAGGGCCTGCAAACACGTCCGGGGGGGGGGGGGGGGCCTCCGTAAGGTGCAGGATTCGGTACCATTTCACTTCCGCCCCTGTGGGAGGAGAGTAAGGAGGAGGCGCGCGCTATCACATTCGGAGTCTGTATGTGTATTTGCAGCGTGTATACTTTAAACATATACATGCATGTATGTATGATTGCGTATATATATATGTATGTGTATGTTCTAAGCATACACACATACATATGACATATATTATAATTATATTCATATATATACATATATATATATGTGCGTACTACCTATATTTACATATACATATATATATATATTCATATATATGTATGTGTGTGAACCCTGTATATATATGTATGTGTATGTGTGTGTACTCATTTCTACACACCTATACATACGAACTTGTGAACATGCGTGTAGTTAAATATATGTGTGCGTGTAAAATATACAAACACATGTTTGTATATAAAAACAAACGAATATATATATATATATATATATATATGTATATGTGTGTGCGTTTGTTCATGATAAAAAGAAACAGGCGGATGATTGCGCTGGCACATTCGGATATGTGTATTTGTACGCGTGCGTTGTAGCGTGTATACTTAATACATATGCATGTATGTATAACTAGATGAATGAATCCTTTGCAAAAAAACACATACAGACACTTTAAACATATTTGAATATATATATACACATGCACTAGTAACTATACACATATACGAACATGTATATGAGCATGTGTGCCATTGCTTGTGTGTAAACGAAAATAAGATATGCACGCAGTGCTCATAAACGTATAACATGTGTACATATGCGTATATAATATATGTGTATTTTTAGGACCGATGTATGTGCATATGCGTGGATGTGTGAATTCACATATAAGTGTTCACATAAGTATGTGTACGTGCACAAACACATAATATAAGTCCACGAGTAAACACACTGATATACATATACACACATATACATAAACATGCACCTTTGTGTACTGACACGTATAAAAGGTATATTGTTCATATAATTGAATAGCAAATGCATGCATGTATGTATACACATGAGTATAATGATGTAATGTACGTGGCAATGTGTATTGTCGTGGCTATCACACATGCAATACATGTATACATATGCATATGTGTGCGTACACATGCAGTGCACATATACATACATATATAATAAACATACGTGTACATAAAATTATCCACTTTGGTGTGCCCCCATCCTCCTCCTCGCCCTGGCGACGGACGAGTCGCCCGCGCGGCCGGTTGGCTTCGCGATGGCGTGAATGCCCTGCTTCCAATATATACCCTCCTCCTCCTCCTCCCCCTCCTCCTTCTCCTCTTACTCCTACTCCTGTTCCTTCTCCTCCTCGTCCTCCTCGTCCTCCTCGCCCTGCTCCTCCTCGTCGTCCCAGTACACCGCCTCCTTCTCCTCCTCATATTCCTCTTACTCCCTCTTTGGGCCGCCATCCCCTTAAAATCTGCGCCAGGGGCTTTTCTGGAGTCCATCAGAGGTAATCCCCCGTTCCGGATATTTGTTGTTCGACGGCCCTGGAGCCCAAAAGCGGCCTCCGGAAATTAAAATCTAAGGGTGGGTCCAAAGGAGGGAGAAGAGCGAGGGGGAGGGCGAGAGGCGGAAGCGCGAGGAAGAGGACGAGGAGGAGGATGGGGATTGCGATCGCCCTGCTTGTGCTTCCGTAAATCCCAAACATCCGACTTTGCAAAGATCCGCGACGAAAATATCTCCCCCGGAAGCGAGGTCGAGAGCCGCGGGTAACCGCTGCGGCATGAACAAGTCGCAACGTCGGAAGTCCGGGAATTGGCGGCCGCGCCGGCAAGGCGATCTTCTCAGAGCACGCCGCGCCGCGGACAGAGATTCACATCATTTGTGAATATAACGGTCTAGATGATTCTTCTTGTGGAACGTATATATTGAAGGCGCATATACCAACAATATTCAATTTTTCCCCGTGCGAACTCGCCTGAATATGCAAAAACCCATGTGTTTTTAATGGTTTATGTGATCAAACACTTCTTTCGCGCCGGCTTCCGCTCTGAGCTGGTCGCTGATGGTTAAGATTTTTGTGTATTTCCTATGTGTTTTTGATGATTATGCCGCGTTCGCACGGGAAAACATTCGAAAATCAATGGTTTCCATCATAGTGAGTTTGGTGGAGGAGAAGCGCTCTTTGCACATGGCGATGATGACGGTTGTATGCGCAGGGAAGCGAAACAGGCGGCAACAGCGCTGCGTCCTCCGCAGAGAGGATGGACGCGGGGCGTGCGCGCATCAGGTGTCCTGCACTGCTGCACTATGGCAGGGGCAACTCGCAGGAGCGCGCATCTATCAACCCAGCCTGGTGCGCCTGGCGGCCTTGCGGCTCTCGTGAATGGCGCGCTGGTCCGCTGCGCGCTCCCTCTTGGATGCGCGGCGGTCTGCGCGGCGCTCTGCGTCCGCGCTGGACAATGCTATCACGGGCGTGCGCAGCTGATCGCGGTCCCGGATGGCGACTGGGCCGCCACTCTGGAACTGCGGCGTTAAGCCCTTCGAGAGCGCGCCCGCGATCAGCGCGACCCTCCACCCCTCGCGGAGAGACACGGTGCATGGCTGGCACGAGTGCGCGAGCGCCTTGTAGACGCCGAAGATCTTGCCCGCGAGGACGACGCGCTCGCGATGGCACTGGTACACGCAGCGCCCCCAGTCCTTGACCTGTCGATGGATGGCCTCGTTCCGCATCGTGTTCATCAATGCGCCCGGGTGCAGGCGCCTGAAAACGGCCACGTTCTGCGTGTAGAAAAAGTGCGAGCCCGCGCGCTGCAGGTGCTGCAGCACGGTCACCCCCTTCAGATCCTTGCGGGTCAACGTCTGCGGGTACGTCTGCGCGATGCGCCGGAGGGCCCCGACGTACTCGCGCACGCTGGTAAACGGCTTCTCGAGGTAGGCCTCCCACTGGGCATCGGTGAATGCCCGGCCCAGCCGCACGCTGTCCCACTCGGGGATGCGCATGGGCTCGCCGTGGTGGATCTCCCAATCCGGCGGCGCTGGCTGCTGGAATTTCTTGTGCAGCTTCAAGACTCGCCAAGATAGCGCTGTCCTGCGTTCGTTGGTGCACCCGTCGATCCTCATCGATAAATGCACGGGGTCCTCCGCCACGCCGCGGCAGTTCGGCAAGTGGCTGAGGAAGTACTCGCTCGGGGAATCCGACAGAATGTACTCCACCTGCGGGATCGCACCCTCTGGCAAGAGCTCGGCGAGAGCCTGCGCGAAGTCATGCTCCCCCTCCGTGCGCTGTCCGCTCCACCCCAGACACAACCCAGACTGCGCAACGAATGTGTGCAGGGCGTGCACTTCTCCAGCCCTCTGCGACATGGGGGTCTGGCCGATGATCGCGAACGCGGCCTTGAACGTGGCGTCGTGGCTGATGCA